AGAAACAACAAAACCCACATGGAAGAAGCACACCAGCCTGTAAGATGACAAGGTGGCGAAAGGGTCAGGTATCAGGCATCAAAGACCGAAAAAAAAAATCGTAACATTGTGAATGAGGGGGAGTGCAGAGTGGGGACTCAGAGCCCATCTGGTGGACTCTCTATTCTTATGCCTAGATATATGCCAATATTATTCTGTCTTTAATTAGTGTAGCTTTAAACTGTTGTAGCTTTGATACAGTCATAATACAGTAATATAAATCCCCAATCCTTTTTAGAATTGTTTTGGCTATTCCAGGTTGTTCACATTTCCATCACAGTACTGGAATCAACTTATCAATGTTCATAAAGAAAGTCTGCTGGGAAACGGATTAGAATTTCATTGCCTCTCACTCTCCATTTGGTGGCAGTAGAAATGCTAAAAATACGAAGTCTCCAATCCATGAACACTGTATCAATATACATTGCTCCATTTATATCTTCCTTAATTTCTTTCAGTGAAGCACTGATGGCGTAGTGGGATACATACTGGGCTACAAACCATGAGGTCATCAGTTGGAAAGGATCAGCCACTCTGAGGGAGAAAGATGAGGCTTTCGACTCTCTTAAAAAGTTATAGCTGCGGAAAGCCACAGGGGCAGTTCATCTCTGTTCTATAGGGTCACTATGAGTCGGAATCAACTTTATGGCAGTGAGTTTGATTTGGTTTTATATTTCTTTCATAAAGGTTTTGTACATCTTCCATTAAATATATTTCCATGTTCATAAATATTCTTGGTGCTAATATAAATAGCATTGTTTTATTTTAATATCATTTTCCACGTCGTCTTGCTGTATACAGTTAACTTTATAAAGACCTATAACTTACCCTCTTCTTTTTTATTTTTGTAAGTTTTATCTTTTTTCCGCAGTCAATTTAAAATCCTCTTGTTTCAGGCTTTTTTTCTTCTTTTAAAAAAAATCATTTTATTGGGGCTCATACAACTCATCACAATCCATATATACATCAATGGTGTAAAGCACACTTATACATTTGTTGCCCTTTACCCACTTCTTAAATTCACTTATTTACCCTTAATAGCTTTTTTTTATTACATAGAAATTCCTTAGAACAATTGTATCATCTAAGAATATAGTTTTACTTTTTCTTTTCCTGCAATGGCTAGGATTTTTTTTTCTTTTCCTGATTCATTGTTATGTCTTTGGGATCTAGCATAGAGCTTGGTATTCTCTCCATAAATATCTGTTGAACAAATGGTCTGTTGTAAGAATAATTATACCTTCTGGAAAACATGTTGATCCCACCAAAAGTGATCACCTGTTTGTGTGACTAAGAAGACCATCACTGTTCTATGTATTTATCTTATTATTCTCTGGCAGGAATAGAAATTCTATCTGAATATGTATATATCAATGATGTGGCCTCAATAAACATAAAGCAACATCTGACAGACCCATAAGGAGAAATTAACACATTAACCATTGTAGGGGAAGGTTTTACCACAACCCTCTTCATTCTTGCTTTTCAACACTTTCAAAAGGTCTTGGGCTGCAGATTTACTCTATGCAATGCATTGTTTGATCTCAATTGCTGCTTTCATGAGCATTGATCATGGATCCATGCAAGACAATCTCTTTGACAAATTCAATCTTTTCTCCATCATCATTTATCATGATGTTACCGACTGGTCTAGTTGTGAGGATTTCGGTTTTATTTTCATTCAGCTGTAATCCATACTGAAGGCTGTGATCCTTATCTTCATCAGCAAGAACTTCAAGTCCTTCTCACATTCAGGAAGCAAGACTGTCATTTGCATACCATGCGGGTTAGTAAACCTTCACTCCTGATGCTGGTCTTCATATTTGTTCAGCATAGATTGAGCTGCATCTTCTCACCAAACTTATTCACTTTTCTTTTTTTTTATACAGACCAAAATCTTAGCATAGTTAATAATGCACAAGTAAACATCTTTCTGGCATTCTCTGCTTTCAGCCAATATCCATGTAACATCAGCAATGATATCCCTTGTTCCACGCTCTCTTCTGTGTCCAGCCTGAATCCCTGTGCTCAGCTCCCTGCCAATGTAGTGCTGCAACCATTTTGGGGTGAGCTACAGCAGAATTTTACTTCTATGTGACATTAATAATATTGCTCAATAATTTGAGCATTCTGTTGGATCACCTTTCTTTGGAATGGGTACAAATATGGATCTCTTCTAGTCAGCTGGCCACATAGCTGGCCAAATTTCCTGGCATAGACAAGTGAGTGTTTCCAGTGCGTCATCAGCTTATTGAAATATTTCCATTGATATTCCATCAATTCCTGGAAGCTCGTTTCTGGCTAATGCTTTCAGTGCAGCTTGACTGGCTAGGATTTTCAAATTAACACTGAATAAAAATGGTGAAATCAGAAGTCCTTACCTTGCAGCTGATCTTAGGGGAAAAGTATTCAATTTTTCAACTTTAAGTATAAGTGCAGCTGTAGGTATTTTTGTAGATTCCCCTTCATTAGACTGAAAAAGTACTTTTCTATTTCTAGGCTGTTGCAACTTAAAAAAAAAAACCCATACAGGTGTGCTTAATTTTGTCAAATATATTTTAGTATTTACTGAGATGATACATAATTTTTATCCTTTATTCAGTTAATGTGGAAGAGTGGTGAGAAAGCTAAAACTCATGCTAGGCAAGACTTAGTGTTTTAAACAAATGGCTGGGGAATTGGTATTACCATATATACTCATGTATAAGCTGAGTTCTTCAGCACATTTTTAATGCAGTTTTTGTGGGAAAATTAGGTGCCTCGACTGATACGTGGGTTGGCTTATATGGTATATACAGTTAGAGATCTGGAGAACTACCAAATAAAAGGCTAAATTGCTAAGAAAAAGGGGTGACCATACTGATCTTGACAGAGTAAGCATGTATGCTCTGTGAAATTAATATTTTGTTAAAAGCTATTTAACATTATTTGATAGACTTTAATATGAAAATATGTCTCATGATAAAAATATTTAAAATTAAAAATGAATTCTAGGAGTTGTGGAGATGAGGCTGGGACTATTATTAATCGGGTAAGACTGGAAGGTGGTGCCAGGGAGAGAAACTCAGCTTCAGGCACAGGTACAGGCAGTCCCTGGGTTCTGAATATTTGACTTATGGACAACTCCTTCTTGCCCTTTAAGAGGGCTTCAAACCAATTCTTGGTTTGTCTTGACCAACAGAGAAAAATAGGAATAGACCTGAACTTTCACAATTTGGGTGACGATTCCTCAGGTGAGTGGAATGTCAGACTTAGAGGAGCACAAAAACCCTCTCAGGACGAGTCTGGGTTCCTGGCAGCATTGTGGAAAGCCATACACATTCAAAGCTGTGTGGCCAACAGCCATCTCTGAGTGGGGTACTAGTGTTTCACCAGTTTGATATCCTGCTTAATATTATATAAATTTGCTCTCACAAAATGACTGAACCAGTCCCTACTTGCAACAAATTCTTATCACAATCACCTTCACTTCTTGCATATGGTAGCTTTTAAATCACGGAAAATGCTTTGAGCCTTGCTTACACTAAAACCTCCCAGAAACTTACTGCCATAGAGATTCTACCTCATAGTAACCCTATATAGCGTTTCCAAGGCTTTGAAAATCCTTATGGGAGCAGATAGGCTTATTTTTCTCCCAAGGAAGACCTGGTGGGTTTGAACCACCAAATATGCAGTGAGCAGTCCAACACCTACCCAACAGCATCACTACAGTTCCCTCCCCCTCTTTTTTTTTTAACTAAAGGAAGGTTAAATAAGAACCACATACACTGCTTCCAACTGATAAAGTCTTATAGATAGGAAGGGAATACTTTGTAATCTGGAGACTATGTTCAGAAGATTCCTCATGTAGCTAGATATACTAGGCAGCATAAAGATAGCGGCCCAAGATAAAGGTTTAGGAGTAAGCATCAAATAAAGGTTTGAAAGTCACAAGAATGGATGAGGCTGAGCAGGTATAGGGAAAGAAAAGGGTCAAGGAACATACTCTATCGAAGGCTGTATGTATGGGGCAAGAATGCAAGGAAGGAAACAGAATGAATTTTCAAAGCCAGGAGGACAAGTCAAATATACAGCAAATATACAGAAATCTAGGGACAGGGGGGTTAAATCCGAAGTGCTAAATCCCAAAGATTTTGTGTACCAACAAATATCAGAGATATACTTTGCTTTTGCAGCTCACTCTCCCTAATGTTATGGAGAAATTTGGTTAATAAAACCTTAAGCAACATTAATCATGGAAAATAGAGAACAGAATTACACATATTTTTTAATGTTGCTATTTATTTATTCCATTTCAGGAAACATCTGGAACAGAGAGGATGAGTTAAAGAACTTCCACTGTTTATCTCATCTGGTGATAAAGAGTTCAAGAAAAAATGATGAACATAATCCGCGAGGCTACAGAGAACTGGTTAAACATCCATGTCACTCAGTGGAAAAAGAGTAAGAAATGGAAAACACTGCATAAAAGTGTCTTGAAAACGTTTTAGTTAACAAAGTATATAAGGTGGATGATTCAGAAGTAATGAGTCACTTAGCAATAAAGCAACTAGTTTGCCAGGAAAACACAGGCAGTCTTTGGTAGATGAGTCAGTATGGAAAGTACTCTGAAGAGAACAGTTTGGAGACTACAAAGACTTATCACAGAACTGCTTATGAGATTTAAAGAGAGAGAGAGAGAGACATTGGAGATTTTGTTTGTGTCCACATCAAAAACAGCTGAGAAAATAAATTAGGAAATCTCTTATGAGGGAAGATTTTCTGATTCTGAAAGAAACTGTTCACATGAGTATTAAAGAATGATTAACGCTTTAGATTTAGGGCTGTCTCAATGAGACTAAAAAGTAAAAAAAAAACAAAACTCAATAGTGGGCCTACTTTGAGCACCTGGGAATTAGGAAGTTCTTAGAAACTCACTTTTATTTTGACTCCGGTGGAGATATATCTGACTGACGGGAGAAGCACCAGGCGGACAGTCAGGAGCCCTGCTCGGTCCTTGCTTCTGTTTTGCACTGACCAGCTCGCTCAGCAAACTCGGTCAAGTCACTGCCCTCGCTGGGATTTCACCTTCTGGCAAAACGGGCCGCGATGTTCCTGGAGGTTGGAGTATACGAGACAGCAAAATCAGCTTTTTCAGGGTTCAGTCTTGGTAAAAGTAACATTTTCCTGGGAACTGTTTTGTATACAATGAGCTGGCTATTAAATTTTAATGTATATAATTTGCAAATCTATTGATTTCCCTGGGAACTGGTTTCAAAAGAAAAACGTTAGGATTGAACTTTTACTGTTTTATTAAAATTCTCTAGTACACTTCCAAAGTAGCAACAACACTGGTTTCTGTCTGCTTTGTGATACTTTTAAGTTACTTGGATTCATGTAGTTTTCTTTTGAGACATTTTTCTTACTTTAGAGTCAATATATAAAATTTAGGTCACATTCTACAGGTTAAAATCATCCGGATAATTTATGAGAATATATGTCCTTTATAACTCAGTTTAATAAACATTTAAATGTCATTGCAGACCAGAAACTCTGCAAGACAGAGGAAATGAAAACAAATTTTATGATTCCTGCCTCAAGCAGCTAACAGTCTCTGAATGGGTGGGGAAGGAAGATACTTAACCTGTAGGTCAATGAAATCACTAGAAGAAGGGGGTGGCCAAGCTCTGGAGCCAAGCAGGGTAGCAGAGCAGAAACAGATGGTGGCAGGGAGAAAAGGAATATGCCTGTGAGCACAGTGATGACGTGTGGGCAAAGCAGGAAGTCGTATGGAGTTTATAGACAGTTGAAGATTGGCAGATCAAACCCACCCTGCAAAGCATTGTACTCAGCACAAACGTCTTCACCATTAGTCGGATTTGACTTCAGTGCCAGTAACAACAGCAGCAACCACCCGGAGTTTGAATTGTTCAAGTGTCAAATTTAAATAAAGGCGCAGGAGCAAAAGCAGAAGAGGCAAAACAGCATCGGAGGGTTTTGGTCAGGGGGTGAGATGGTCAGATTCACAGTAGGCATATCACAGTGCAAGCACTGAGGAAGACAGACTTGGAGAACCAAGACTGCAGCAGTTTTGTTTCCATGTGGTCCAACACGCTTCAAAGTCCATGAAACAATCAAGTCTAGAAACTAGGGCACCTCGGACTTTAGTCGGTTCCCTTTGAATCAGAACGACTCATGATGGTGAGTAATCCACAAATCTGTGAACTGGATCTAAATATAAAGCTCTTTATTTTTAGGTTCTTTACTTTTCTTAAGTTCTATTCTTTTCTACAATTCTATAGAAGCACAAATTTTGGCTGGAGTTGACAACACATCTTAACATTTTTACAAGTAAATTATGGACATGTTTTTAAAAAAAAGACTGTATTAACCGCAAACATTTAAAGAAAACAAGCAAGACTTCTGTCTTGTAGGAACTTGGGGGGGGTAAAAAAAATGGGGCAAAAAAAGAATAGGTCAATCCATTGAATAGGTATGGTATTTACTGAGCTACATGTGGGCCCTGATGGCAATGACAATCTATTGGCAGTTCCTTGTACAGCATGACTTTTACGTCCTCCTTTCCTTCGGTGACCAGTTGCATTGAAGCAAAAGAAAGCAGAGTCTCTTTAGATGCAAATGGAAAATCTAGAAGATGACCAGGAACCTGGAGTAAAATGTACTTGAGTGGGACAAAAAGAGAAAAGCAGGGAAAATGCCCAGAGATGGTGTGGAAGGCAGGTGGCAGGGGAAAAGCCTAGAATTATGTTTAAAGCAATTCACAAACCAAAGTTGTGACCTAAAATTAAAAAGAGACAAAGCTATAACCTTTATAAAAATAAAAATAATGGCTTTAGAAATAAATTACTGACTGCAAAAAATGACAACGAAACAAAAAGGAAACAAAGATCATACCTAGAGATGTGAATGTCCTTTATAGCTATGAACGTACACATATACAGACATGAATATATATATATATACGCAACACACACACAAATATGAGATTAAATATAATTTAATGACCTGCTCTTTTCACTTACTATAGAGCAGCAGCTCTCAACATGTGGGTCGCGACCCCTATGGAGGTTGAATGACCCTTTCACAGAGGTCGCCTGATTCATAACAGTAGCAAAATTACAGTTATGAAGTAGCAACGAAAATAATTTAATGGTTGGGGGGGAGGTCACCACAACATGAGGAACTGTATTAAAGGGTCACGACATTAGGAAGGTTGAGAACCACTGCACTAGAGACATACTATTCCATGACAATAAACATCTATATCGCTTCTCACCCCTTTGGGTAAGATCAAGTGAAGAATAAACATCTATATCATACATCTTATAATACATGGTACGGGTATCTTAATTGTACTCAAATGTATTTACTCAATTTTCTAAGGAATATTAGGCTGTATGATAGGGTGGGGAAAGAAAAGTAGCAGTAAAATGCTAGGGCAGCATTTTGAATATTCCAAAGGTGGAAAAAAGGTAAACAGACATGAAAGCCCATGAGATTTTAGTATTCCAGACATAAGATGAATAATGTCTGAATCTGGAATTCTTTGTGGATGAAGAGGAATTTCCAAAAGAGAAACAAAAAAAGGCTGCAACCCAATACACACACAAAAAAATGAAGCAATTTCAAATGTTCACATCTGCAGAACAGATAGAATATCAAAGAAAACATTCAGATAACTGGAATCAGTGGGTAGACTGCCAGAGAAAATTCGAGTGCCCATCTAAATACTTAGCTTTCCAAGGATGTGACAGAGTTCCCCAAGTTAAGCTCTAAGTGCCCTGAACCTTCCTTGTGAGATGCTAAATGGCCTTAAGACTTCAAGTATTCTCTCTGGACCTCATTTTTCCAAAAAGTGTTTGGTCGGGCTCGCTAGGTTTACAAACTGCTTGTCAGAGTTTCCTTGGAAGCTGCCAATATTAGGAATTTCCCACTGCAATCAGAATGCTTTTCTGTTTTATGTCATCAATCTGTGTGTGTGTGTGTGTATACATACATATATATAATTTCTCTATATATATATATAATTCCCACAACTATGGAGTTTTCTTGCCAAAAATATTTAACTTAACTCTAATCGAGCTTTTAGCTCTAATAGTAGATAATGAAATGAGTGAAACAATATCACGAGTAAGCATATTTATGATGTGGATCATTCTAAAACAGAATTGGTCTGGTTTTCTTCAAAGATACTGATTGAAAAGAAGGCTGTGTGTCTTGAGTATAGGAGTGGGCAAAGGAAGACACACATCTAACACCAAATATAAAGGTTCTGAGGGTGAGTATGGCTTGAACATTTTAGTACGTGTCAAGTGAGGAGAAAGGCAGAGAGGAAGAGCTACTATGCAGACTCATTACTGGGTCCTCAAAAGTAAGATTAGTATTGGATTACATAAGTATTTTCAAAATGATGGTGCACTAAGCACTGTACGTAAGTGAAAGACCTTACATGACATACTCTGACAGTGAAATAACTGTGATTTGGGCCTAGGTTTCTCTGACATGGACACCGTTCTGTCCTGTCCCAGGTTTAGATTAAGGGCAAAGGAGCTGGAGTGGTGAGTCCCTGAGCTCCTGCCATGACCACAGACTGCTCAACTTCTAGGGAAGAAGAGAGAGAGGGTGGACGGGAAGAAGACCTGAAATCTGTAGAACATTGAATCATTGGAGAAATACAGATTAAAAGAACAAAAGATTACACAAAAACACATACCAATTTCCCCCCCAGAAAGATTGAAAATCCAATACATTATTACAGAATGATGAAACTGGGGTGATACAAAATACCATATAAAAAGAAAATCATAAAGTTAATAGAGTAAAATTTACAGTTAGACTATTAAAAACTAACAAAAGTTAAATGCTAACTGGACATGAGACTATAAGTATATTATACAACTTTATATATATAATTAATATATATTAAGCAAATAAATTCTAATTATATCCGAGCCAGTTTCTATTGCTTCTTCAACAATAAAACTGACTTGGACATAATTAGAAGTATATTCTTGAATGGCATCAGATCCAGAAATAGAATCACATACAAGACTTGCCAAAGGACCAAGCATATATATATTTTTTCTTTTTAAAACAAGTGACCCATGAGATTAAATCGACAGGAGGGATATGGAAAGTGCAGAAGGCTCTAAATGTGGAAGATAAGAAAATACCAGGCCAAGTAGATAAAAGAAATAAACTTAACAGAGGAGAAAAACATGAGATTTGATTTCGAGAAAACTACAGCAGTGCTATAAATACTTAATACTTTGCAATTAAAGGGAAATTATTTTCCAATTTCTTCTGTTGAGTGAATCTTCGTTTTTGCAGTTTCTCAGGAAGGAGGCTGATGGGATTCAGGTAGCAGCGTAATGGATCAGGGAAGTAGAGCAGAGAGGAATCAGAAACAACAACCACAACAAGTTGTAGTTTTAAGTGCCATTGGGTCAATTCTGATTCACACCACCCCAACAGGATTATGCTGGACCTGGCATAATCCTCACAACTGTCACTGAACCCACTGTTGCAGTCACTGTCAGTCCAGCTCATGGACGGTCCTCCTCTTTTTCACTGACGCTCTAGTTTCTCAAACAGGATGTCCTTCTCCAGGGTCACTCCTGATAACATGTCCAATGTAGGTGTGATCAAACATGTCTAGCCCAGTAGTAAGAGGACTCATCCATCACCCAATCTTCAAACTTCTTAGCTAACCTAGGTCCAGACCTACGGAGAAGGCATCCTGTACAGGTATTTGGTTTTCCGAGCATCTCAGAACATTCTGCCAACCTAAAGCCCTTGGTTTAGGAAAAGTTACCCATCCATAGTCAGAAAGCTGCGTCTGCTTGTGGAGGAAGTCTATAGTATGGCCAATGATGCAACAGCTACTAAAGTTGGAATCACATATCATTTGGCAAACATCTTGGCTTAAATTTTGGCTTTGGTGGTGCCAAAAGTGTAACGTGAAGATCAGCTAGCTCAAAGAACTGACCTGTCTTTTAAGCAAGATCAAAGCTAATGAAGATGATTTCATGGATATATATATTTTTTATTTTATGGATACTTTTAAGATAATTTTCATTCATGAGAAAAAGGCC